ATATATTAAATATATGTATATAATATTTTTTCAGAATAAATATAATCATTTGTTAAGTGTATGCATCACATATATATGTTTAAGTGTATGATTCATCACATTATTGGAATGTGAGGAAGTATAGAAAAATATGTATGTCATAGAGTTGATTAAGAGAATAGAGATACGTATCCCCTTTGTGATGCGTCACCGGGTATATGGGGCAGTGCTTCGATACGCCGGTACAACCTGCACTGCACTAACCTTGGTTTGACATCGCGGAGTGTGCGTGCCAGTGGAAAGGTAAGATGGCGGCGGACGGAGATGTGATTCCTGATCAAGAAAAAGTACGAATAGTTTCGGATTTTATACTGCACTCACCACCAGGCGAATTCAACGAGGTTTTTAATGATGTGAGAGTCTTGTTAAACAACGACAACCTGTTGAAGGAGGGTGCGTCTGGAGCATTTGCTCAATACAACAAGGATCAGCTCACGCCTGTTAAGGTACATCATCGACCTCTCTGATGAACTTTTATAATTTTTTGTGATAGTATCTGGGATATTGTTTAGTATTTGTGGTAATCGAAGGTTATACTATCCCCGGGAAGTGTTGGATCAAATTTCAATGTCTAGTAACATTCCTAATTGAGCAACACGCGTTCGGAATTTCGACAGGTGACATTGACTTTATAGTGAAATTGGAGCGCGATAATGTTCACCTGGCTGATGTGATTGTTTATCTAAAGAATCCTCGAATCGGTACACAACAGTTGCTATGTGAAAATCATAGTGAAATTTCCATCGAAATCGTACGCTGCAATAGGGTTAATTATAGTTACATTTCGTAGTGATTTTAATAGAAAATATTTAAGATTAATTAAATTGATAAAATTAGTTCAATTTTGATTTCATTATATAATTTGGGAAAATAATTTTTATTTCATAATTTTATCAGTTAGATTCAGTTAAAGTAAGGTTAGATATCAATATAATTCATTATAAGTATTTTGTACCATGAAATTTTTTAATTTGTGAATTTTATGTTAATATCTATTCATTTGTTTCATTTTTTTGACTTCAGATTGAAGGTACCGAATATCCTGCTCTTATAACAGAACACAATGATCTAGGTGGGCAAAGGTTTTACGATGCTCGCAGCAAGCAAAGTTTTAAATATGACCATCTTAGAAAAGAAGCACAGGATTATGAACCATATGAACCAGATTCTGTGGCTGAACCTTGGAGATCAGCTCTTCAAGATGAAATAACAACTTATACTCAAAGTCATTATAGACATGGTGCATGTTCAGTTTTTGGAAAGAGTCAAGGAGGTATTATTTACTTTCTTATATTTTATTAAAGTTTAGTTGTTTGAAAATAGCAATTATAAATAAAAAATGGCAATCATTTATATAGGTAACATTACCTTAACGGCTTGCATAGAAGATCATCAATTTCAACCTAAAAATTTTTGGAATGGCCGTTGGCGTTCTGTATGGACTGTAAGTTTTAGTCCAAGTTCTGGAAATGCAGAATTAAGAGGTAGTCTTAAAGTACAAGTTCATTATTATGAAGATGGAAATGTACAATTGGTCAGTAGCAAAGAAGTAAAAGAAAGCTTACCAATCTCAAGTGAAAAACAAACAGCAAAAGAACTAATACGGCTTGTTGAGGAATCAGAAAATGACTATCAAACTGCTATATCGGAAAATTATCAAACAATGTCAGACACAACCTTTAAGGCCTTACGAAGGCAATTACCTGTTATGCGAACGAAAATTGACTGGAACAAAATTGTATCGTACAGTATTGGCAAAGAGCTTAAAAGTCAATAGAAATAGATTTTTTATATAATATTAAGAGAAATAATTAAAAAGCGCATTTTGCTGCATGGGTGAAGTCTGGAGGTGTGATGTGCATGGGAGCAAATATAATGATGCTATATAAAGTTTGGTTAAACATGTTTTGACTGAAACTCATGCATGCCACTCAAGGTTCCTCTGGACCCCTTAATGTATCTTGTTACCAACAAAAATAATAAAAAGGAACGTCATTGTAGTTATCGATTCTTTAAAAAAAAAAAAAAAAAGAAAAAGAAAAAAGAAAAAAAGAAAAAAAAAGAAAAAAAAGAAGCAAAAAAAAACTTTGACATTTTAACTGCAATATATTCTTTTTTATCAACTTTTTAAAATTCTATATTAACAATTTCTAATTGCTTAAAAAATATATTTACTATCTTATATTTTTATTTTTAATGAATTTTATTAGCAAATGCTTTGATATAACTTTGAATTCATATATAACAAAGACTTACATATTATTTAAAAACATTCATCTCTATGATTAAACCGTCTATTATTTTACAGTATTTAAAAAGAATATCGATTTATATATTAATCTATAGCTAAATTTATTAGTATTTAATAATTATATTCTTGGGGTAACAGGGATCCTTGGTCTTATTTTTTGTAAAAATTTTAATTATTGAAATTATATTTAATAAATTGAACTATGTAAAATTTGTAATTAATAGCCAAAATCAAACATGAAATTTGGAGTGGAATATTAAAATTTGTTAATGCATTTATTAAATACATTTAAACTATCAATCAGATAATAATCTAATATTCAATAAACACAAATCATTTGATTTATATTTTTATGATCTTGTGCAATAATATGAACATTTTTGATGAATTGCATTTACTAAAATTATTTGTTATAATTAATCATATGGATTACTATCTTATTGATAAAAAATTCTACTCCAATAATTCTGAAACTTATAGTTTATAATTTAGAATTGAAATTTAATATTGAAAGATTGAATGCATTCATTTTGATTCATATTGATAGTCAACATTAAAAATAAATATAAAGTATTGCACAGTGGAAAAAAAATTGCTGTCTAACATGTGCATGTTCGGTCAGCCTAATAAAATCATTGAGTTAAAATATCAGAATCAATGATTATTAAAATTTCAATTCATTAGTTGCACAATGATATAATTTTGTTTAACACTTAAGCCTTGTAACATCTAAAAAGCACAATAACATGTTTAATATATCTTTAAATGAATATTATTATATTGGTTTCATGCTATGTATAATATAATAGCATGCTGGGGCCACAGTGATGTCAAAATATATAATATCAAACAAGATAGATATATCATCTATCATCAATTCACAATTTGGTACAGAATGCCATTAAGTGTTCATAGCATTCAATATACAAAGGAAAACTTCATTCATTATAAATATTGGTGGGCAAGGCCTACTATATTCTTGTCCAATATTTTATATTTCATAAAATATGAATTTATACATTTTTGTTAAGACTTATTGTTTTATGATAAGTATATCTATTATGGCAAATATGTTGCAAAGTTTAATAATACCGAATAAAATAAATGTTAATCATTGCAACTTGATTTCTGTGTTAATCATATTGTATTTTTATGAATCATTTGTATCAAATAATGATGTTGAAAAATCTTTTGGTGCTATCGCTAACCACACATTACACAACCAGACATGTATGCGAAAACAAAAACTAACAAAGTACATAATGCATTGTACATTATAGAATGTAGCCTATAGCCTGCTGGAGCCTTAATCTGTTCACTTTATGTTGAAGGGTATTATGTACATATGTTATTTGAATGAATGAATGCGATGAAGCACACTACCATTTGACTTTTCAAACTCTGGGATTCGAAACATGTTTGTAATATTCATATTTTGTAAGTTACATCGTAATTCAAAGTATTTTATTTAATCATGCTATTTGATATTTAGAAGAAATCTTTGGAAAAGTATATACATTTTAAATATAACGATTTAAATATAAGATCATAAAATCATTTTATTAATTGTGAAGGAAAAATTAAAAAAAATGTGCAGAGATATAATGTGCAGAAAACTTAGTATATTAAATATTGCAATAATAAAATTTTATATGTAAATATGATGATACGTATTATTTGAAGATTATAATTTGTATTACGTATGTAAATTACAAATGAAGTGTTAAAGTTTCGAATCTTATCAAACTTTACAGAAAATAGTTGCCTATGATACTAAAATTAGGTATTACCTACAATCGAGTGTACCGTAAAATAAGAAACGCATGTCCTTATGTAAAAACTTAAACATAGAATACATTTATCAGTTAAATTATGTATTATTAAATGTTATGATTGATTAAATAAAGTGATATGACACTTTATATTTTGATTATAAACTTAAATATCACATTCAATACAAAACATAAGTTTAATTTTATTTTATTATAAATAATATTTAACATCAATAAAATTAAAATATAAGTTATTGATGTCAAACTATCAAACAATCATTAATAATTATGTCAATAAATGTAAATATGATAATAGAATTATGCAAGGTAGAAAAAAAAACACGTAAAAAATATCTTATAAACTTTATTTCCAAGTTTTATATAACCTAAATAGCTAATTGTGATAAATGATGATAAATGAATGCATATAAAAATATGCATTAAATTATCATAACAAATAACCTAAAAGTTTCTTTATTAAAATAATAATAAAAGAAAATATATGATATATAAACTATTATATTTAAGATAATTACTTTTTGATATTATTTTCGAACAATTTAAATTAATAAATCTAAAAAGATTTTTATTAACGCTCAATGTAAACAATTATAGTGCACATGTGCTGTGTATAGTCCTGAAAAAGTACTTTCAATATCAACTATACAATTTCAAAACTTAAAATGCTTACCTTAATTTCACGTATAATAAAGTTTTGAGACACTAATATGAACATTTCAAGATAATAATCTGTTCACATAATTAATAAACAATCTAAAAAACAATTTCACAAATTTTAATATTCATAGCCATGTTTGTTTACAAGACAGTCGTTGCTAACGTGCTAAGAATCTTAGGTCACGGGATACTATCACGTGACTATTGACTATATTGTAAAATAAGTAAATGTACTTATTCTATTATTAAGTGTTTGTCGAATTTTTGTTTAAATAAATTATTTTTAATTTATAATTAAGTACGGTAATATTTTTTCCACAATGATTTTGATGCCAAAGGATTCCGCAAAATTTATAAATTTATATTCTAAAAATGTTTTTATTGAAAATGAAGGAGTCAAAAATGTTGCTTATGCGGTAAATAATTTTTTCAACATTATTTAAATTATACATATATAAATTTTCAATATATTATAAAAACAAGTAAAATTATATAATAGATGTTATTTATATTCTTTGTTATATTTTTTTAATTGGTTAAAAAAATAAGATAAAAAAATTTAATATATTTAATTACATTTACAGGTTTTAAAAGGTTTTAAGGATGGTAAAATAAGTGTAAATAATTTTTCTCAATGTCAATTTCACCCTTCTCCTGAAGATCCAAAAGCAGTTGATTGGATATTTATTTTGAATACATTAAATTATTCCTTTTGGAATGAAAAAAATTGTCCAAAATGGACAGTTAATAATCAAACTGGATATTTTGCATTATGTGCTGCTATTAAAAGAGCTATAAATGTAAGTTGAAATTATATAAATTTAAATTTATGAAAGAATTCTATCTATTATTATGGTATAATGCCTTTTTGAGTATCCCTAATTATTTGACACCTGCACTTTTCTTTTGATATAGAAGGCGGTGTTATTGATTTTATTGATTCTATTTTTTCTGGAGGTACAGATTCTGGCACTTCTTCTAATTCAGATTTTATATCTGGTTTAATTTCTTTTTTCTTTTTTATTTTTCTTTTCTTTTGTTTTCCATTTTTTACAATTTTTTGAGTTTCATTTATTTTTTTTTCTATTTTCTTTTCATCTTTTGGTTCTTTTTTTGATTTTGTTTTATCTGTTTGTTTCTCTTTGCCTTTTTTCTTTTTTGTTTCAGTTAACTTTTTTATCTAAAATAATATTATATCTTTATTAGATAAACTTATTTATATGATATATAATATTATATAAATAACATAGAACATATAAAATACATGCAATATTTGAATTGATTATATAATTTACAATCTTGATAAAAGATGTTGAATATTCTTACCTTATCATTTTTTGTACCAGCATATGATTTAGATAATAATTTTTTTTCATCGGTTTTAAAGTCATCCTAAAATTAAAATAGCATCTTAGCAGTTTAAAATAGTATGTGTGATTTTTGTGATTTTTCATATTTATTAAATTCATATAAAATACCTCTTCATTATAAAAATATTTTGGACAACAAATTCGCATTCTCTTTGAAGGCATTTGCCTAGCCAAATAACATCTTATATACATTCTTACATCATGAAAAAGATCTATAAAAAAAAAACATCAAACTTTGTTAGTATACATACAAAAAAAAAGAAAAATAATTCATAAATTTCAATAATATACTTTTCATTCTTTCTGTTTCTCTTCTTACTTTCTCTTCATATGCTTCTATAAATTCTTTTCGTTGATCTTCTATGCATTTCAATAGAAATTGTTCCTTTTCAATTTGTTTCTTTTGAAATTCTTGTCTTTCTTCCCATCTAAATAACGTAAAAAAAACTTTCAATTCTCTAACACGAATTATTCTATCATTTATACATACTTTTCTTTTACGATTCTCCGTTTCTCTTCCCGTTCTTGTATTAATCGCCGATCCATCATTTTTTTTCTTACACGTTCTTTTTTACTCCATTCCAGTAGAGTGTGAATTATTTTTTGCCGTCGAATAGCTTGTGCTGCTTTTTGTTTTTGTTGAATTAATTCAGCTTTCTCTATGCTTTTCATATATCGCATTTGTTGAGCTTCTCGTTTTTGTAATTCTAATAATATCAATCTTTTCTCTATTTTCTTTTTCATCTCCTTTTGTTTTTGTCGTTTTAGCTTCTCAGCCATTTTTATCTCTTTTATAGCAAATTTTCTTAATTCCATCAATCTTTCTCTTTCTTTCAATCTGATGAATTGTTGTCTTGTATTTCATTATTTTTAAATAACAGGTCATTCTATTTATACAGTGTGTCTGGTTTAAATAGAAATGTTTAAAGAACAATTAAATTAGAAATTATAGAAGATATAAAAAAAAAAAATGCTTCAGACACTCTGTATAATTTAATATATTGTTGCGAATATTGAATAAATTAAAAGTTAATTTTATTTTAAAAGGAGTAAACATTAATCTCTGCTATCTGCACACAGTAATGTTTCATTAACTATTCAGAATTTCAATGGGAAAGATAAATAGAAATATAACTAACCATTCTTTAACCATTGTAATATTGATCAAGTAAATTTTTCCATTATAATATAATTTATAAACTAATATTAATTTTTATTATATAATTATTATAAATTGTACATATAATTTTTTTATACAATAATTTTTTGGAGAATTTTTTAAATAACACATTCATTTGATTCAATATTTTTGATAAAAAAAATCAAAAATTATATCCATAGTATTGCCACAAACAGGCAAATTTATTCTTTAAGTTTTTATCCAAAAGAATGCAATAATCGCAACAATATATCTTCAATATTTTACCTCTTTACTTCCTTCTCCGCCTGATGTTGCGCGTACTGTATTGCTTTCTCCTCTGTAGATTTTTTCGTTATTCTGTTCAATTCTTTTTTTATACTGTCACAATGTAACCTTCTCAAATATCTTCTGTACATATTGTAATCTCGCAAGGAACATTTCGCATCTAGATTCTTAGTAATGAAACCGGCCTTCAACAAATGTCGAATGACATTCGGTTTTGAGAAATGAGGGAGCAAATGTTTGTCGTGAAGGGAATCGTAAGTCCATTCTATCTCATAACCGTAAGGATCGCTCAAGTTGAATTCCGCGTCGGGCGCTGAGATCCACAATCTCTCCCCGAGTTTACGACGAGCGAAGTTGTAAGCGCCTTCCGGTCCGGGGACCATTGGGATTTTCGACTCTAAAGGCATTAATTTCCATTTTGGCAGACCAAAATGTGGAATAGCACCTTTCGGTTTAGGGATCGATTCGGAGAATTTCTCTAGACTCCTGATTTTATTCGAAAAATTGTTATATGAAAAATAAATCTCCCGTTACTCGAGTCACGTGTACTCACGTGGGTCTTTTAAGACTGATCATATCAGTCGGATAGTGCTCGCACGATGGATTCATCTTACTCGTCGGGAAGTAATATCTTTCTGATTACTTAGAAATTTCTTAATATACGCACCCTTATAAATTTAATAATAAACAACATATTGTGGTTACATTGGAATTTTGCGCGATATACACGTAAAATGTCACTTTCTCGTTTTCCACGTTATGTCTAGCTTCTTTTGTTCGTGGATTGTTTGTCTTGGTCGTTTCAAAAATACTTCGACACGTCCGTGTGTTTCGTCTCGGAAGAACGTTTAATTATTGTTGAAATTTTACCAATAGATATGCCCATTCTTTCTTTTCCTCTTTCTCTCTCTTTATTTCTCTCTCTCTTTCTCTTTTTTTTTTTTTAAATGATTTACTTCGAACAGGAGGGGAAACCTATAGTTGATCCCAAGTATTATTCTCAAATAACGAGATCCGAAGCTGAATATATTTTTCGTGGCGATACAGAAACTAATATTCCGCTGTTAGACGAAAGAGTAAAATGCTTGCGAGATGCTGGAAAAGTTTTATTAGAAAAGTATCAAGGTACATGCTTGAAATCCTTTTCCTCAGATCATCACACATTGTACATTAAGAGTTCTGGTGCAAAACTTTACCGACCTTTGTCAAGATGGAGAATATATTTTTGTAATTAAATCAGGTTTCTAAATTCTCGATTCCCTTTAGAAGATTTTATTTAACAGGCTGTAAAGTTATACACTAGACTACCAAAATATTCTGTGCACAGAATTTAAAAACCTATTAAAATTTGTCAAACATTTTGTTCACGTGTTATAATTGATTAACAATTCCATTTTATTTCTAGGTACTTTTGTTAACTGTGTCAAATTGAGCTCTCACTCAGCTCAAAATTTACTCAGATGTATAGTGAAGGAATTTGAATCTTACCAAGATGAGGCAGACTATAAAATTCACAGAGGTAAACTTATGTTTATTCCGATGAAAAAGAATTGTATTAAAAAATTCTTTCATGAAAGAGGCAAATGCGATAATAATTGTTTTCGTTTTTCAGTCAGTTTTTACAAGAGGGCTCAGATACTGGTGGGCGATATTTGGGCCTGCTTCAAAGGGGAGGGGATTGGCGAATTCTGGGACATAGATTATCTCACGATGTTCGCCGATTATCGTATTCCCCAAATCCTCCTACATTTTGGTGCTATTCGTTACAGCAACACTCTCATGAGTAAGCTAGAATCTGGTAAGTCATTTTATCAGTTATTTTTTTTCTTTACTTTATTTCTTTATCACGTTATAAAATAGAAGACGATAAAGGTAAGTGGCACAATTTGCTTATTAGATAGCACGGTATTTGATATTTACAGATATAGAGTTAGAAAACGGTAGTGATGAGGAAATTGAAATTCGTGGTTGCACGATAGAAGTGATCGAACGAGTCAAATATGAAGTGAAAGATCTAATCGAGCGTTGTCCTAAAGAGAAAAAAAATCAGTTAAAATCAAATATTAATTCTGTTCTGATCGATCATTTCCTGTGGAATTATCGGCGAGAACACGAAGTTGAATTAGAAATTGTACCGTATCATAAAACTAGATGCATATATTATTGAATACTGTTTCAACAAAAAAATATATATATATATATTTGAAAATAGCATATCAATGCAATGATTTTACAAGTTATGATCTTTTTTTATATTTTTTATAATTCTTTGAAAGAGATAGTATTTTTATGATTATGTAGAATATATCCATAAAAGATACTAGACAGTTAGACATATACACACACACACACACATATGTATGTGCAAATATTCGAATAAAATATGCAATATATTTTAACAATTTTAATTTCCTTAGTTTTCTCCTAATACTGTCTTAACAATCCTCAATCCGTTCTTGTTTTTGAAAGTTTTTGAAGGCGAAAATTCAGTTTTATACTTTTTTTTTTTTGATAATAAACAATATATTTCTATATAATATCGATATAGCACAGTTTTAGTTACACAGATAACGTAAGATTATTCCATACAAACTTCGATATTTTATTAATTAAAGAATTTTCGTTGCCCATCGATTTTCTTAATTTAAATATATATATATATACACACCAATATATGTATATTTAGACGTCAATAAATAATAACAGTATTGTAATACATGAGAATACTATAGAATAAATTTATATATATATATAACTTTGTAACTATATTAGATTTTTTTATGTACAGAAAATAATTTTGATATTTTCGACTATATTCCGGTATATATATTTACAATTATTTATTGCAAACATGTAAAATTTGGTGGATTTTTTTAATAGATTAGTTTTCAAAATGTTTGCTGTTCAGTTCAAATTATTTGCATGTTTCAAAAGAACTATTCGCAAAAATATTCTCTTTGGCTAATCACGGGTTCGTATCATTTGGCACACATATCGCATCGACGTTTCATGTCGCGAATGCAATTGCTTTTGTGAATTAATCGATCATTGAGCCTGTATTGTTTCATACAATTAATCGACTCCTTTTGTTGTATCGTGTTAAAACATTCTTACGTTGAGCAAGGATGTTAACCACTCTTTTACTTCTTCGAATTAATTTCTCATTAAATTAATTAAAAAATAATTTTAATCGTATTAAAAGAAGAAAATATTACTAGATTCCTTGTTTCAGGATTCTATACACGATATATCACTTTAATTTGATCCTTACATTGATTTATAAATTTCTTTTCTCTTTTTTTGACAAACGTGCACCAAATTTAAAGCAAATAGATATGCTTTACATCTTTTTCTGCATCTGTTCCCAGAATATTATATTCGATTTCAATTTTCCCGGTAGGATCACGTTCGTATCGTTAAATACATCGTTCTTCGGTTGCACTATTTCCATTTGGTTCTCGCCTTTGCATTGTTCCATAACGACGTGGCTAGCCGGAGGTGAAGTCACTTTGTTTGGAATTCGCCTCAAGCCTTCTCGAAATTGTTTCGAAAGTGATCTGGCGGTTAGGCTGTGCATTTGCCTCGGTGTTTCAACTATTTGAATTTCTGGCGTCGAAGATCTCTCGTTGTACATGTTACATGATTTCGTTGCCTAATAAAAAAAAATATATATATATATATATACATACGTGTATATTAATAAACGTAATCAAATATAATTTAAATATTTAATCAGTTATAGATCAGTGTATTGATCTATAATATATTATAATTTTTCGTTTGTAACTATGAACGATTGTGCAAGTGATCCAAATATTATTAAAAACGAAACATTTCTAAAAATTCGATAATTTGCTATACGACGAATTTACTATATTCATTTTTTTTTTTTTTTTAAACGAAACGTTCTACAATCATTAATCATTCAAACACTATTCTCACCTTTGTAACAGGAACGTGAACGTGTTCATTTTGCTTACTAAATACCTCAGCAAGCCTTCTGACCGATGGCATCGGCAACACCTTATTATCAAACTCCTCGTCGCTCGAACTTTTCTTCTTCATGTCGTTCAACGACTGATGACTCTGCGTCCTCTCCAAAGAATTATCCCCATCGTTCTCTGATCCGTCGATCGATGACTGGCTACTCTTAATATTAACAGTCTTCTGATTATAATTGTTCGCGAGATTCCTCACCGATCCGGTCTTTATCACTTCAAACTCGTCGAACGAGTTTCGATCGTACTCCTCCTCTTCCTCCCTCTGGCTGTTCCTGTTCGAATAACACTTGGTGATGTTCGGCACCGATTTCGCGGGCCTCAATTTGAACTCGTTGTAACTCTCGTCCTCGAATTTGTTGAGTGTCTCCGTGCTCTGCGTCAAACTGTTGTCCCCAGATCCTCGATTCTCGATCTCATCTTGACTATCGTCCTTGTAATCCTTTTGTTGCGACAAATTGGTGTACCTAGCAACCTTGAATTCGTCATTGTCGACGGTGTTCAATTGAATATTTGACTGCGTTCGTCGAATTCCATCGTCGTAGCCGAAAGACCTGAGATCCAACTTATTCACAACTCTTGGCGTCGAAGTTCTGATCGTTCTGTTGGAGCAGAATTCATTTTCGAACCCGTACGCCTTCAAATCGATCCTCTTGATCTTTCGTTGGTTTCTCTCAGAATTGAACATTTTCGTTTCAATCACGGTGTTCTCTTGGTTATTCAATTTCGCGTTTATTTCGTTCTTGCTGTTCTTCCTCTCGTTCTCCAGAATCTCCTCCATCCGTTGCTCCTCCCACGACCTCTGACCCTCGATGGTCCTCGAGGAGAACTTCTCCTTTCCTTTCTCCGCTCCTTTCGAGGAATCATCCTGCCCAGCCGGCAGATACTTGCTCTCCACGTTGTTATTTTGCCATTTAGCCACTTTGGATTTGACATCGTTGCTTCGATTCAACAGAGACTCCGTTTCCTTGTATTGTGTCTCCTCCTGGAACAGAAAACGATCCGAAATCAATCCAAGGGAGATCCAATTTGTTGCTTCCACGTATTTTTAGTTCCATAAAGTACTAGTTTTGATCGACTTTTTGCAGCTATTAGTATTTTAATCGGAATTAGTTTAATGCATAGTTTAAAGCATCGATTGTTATAATCATGCAGTAAGAAAAAGTCTAAAAAATTGTTAGTTGCGATCAAATAATGGAGCACTTTGCGGTAAAAAAAGATCTTTACGATTATTATTTATTATTTTTTTTTTTTCATTCCTTCTTTTCGATTCTCGATAAAAATTCATGCTGATTCTCAGTCAACAAATTTATGCTTATCTCGTTTAACATGCAAACCCTTGAAATATCGTTTGTTAGTCGACACGCATCAAATTGGAAATGCATGTAAACGGTACTTACCGATCCGGTAAAGGCATTTTCTCAGCTATCATGCATGTGCAATGTGCATAGAACTTCGTACTAATAGAAATAGTTTTTTATTATTTTTTTTTTATTTTTTTCATTTTTTTATATTTTTTTATTTTTTTTAAATCTTTTCTTAAGCAGCCTTTTCTATGGTCTACGTGTACTATATACAAGTATATAAAAGTAATTATTTTTTTTTTTTTTTTTTTTTTTTTTTTTTTGCATAAGGTCGATACATAACTGGTGCGTGCGATCTACAAGAAAGAGTCAAAAAGATTTATTTACAGTTCGCTGTTACAGAGATTGTCTTATTCCTCTGTTACGTCTTAATTAAGTGAGAGCTACTTAAAACAAATTCACCATCAAATTGTTAAAACTAACGAGTAGAGCGATTAAAAAGTCAAATTGAAAATTTTAATTTGTTAAAATTAATCGTAGGGGCAAACAACACCTACACCTTGAAGATATAAATAATGTTAAGAAAAATGTGTCATGCACTTTTGGCCAAAGTCACAATTCACATTCGTTACTTTCATTAGAAATAAAATGTACTTAAGATAATTATAATATATATATATATATACATAATATATATATTTGTATAATAAGATTTCTCTTTATAATTTATTATTAAAAAAAATATAATAATGGTCGTAATAATATATTAATTTTATCGTTAGATTCACTTTTAGACACTTTTCTAAGGAACTTCTCGTTGACAATATGGCACTGCATACGAGATTCGAGTGAAATTGTATAAAAAAATATAAACTTTCATAATATATTGAAAGAGAGTTTCTTATTTGGAGAACTAATTCGATTAAGTACTTTTCACCATATTGTCAGATCGCTCAAACTTCTCACACCCACGTATTTGATCGATTCCGAAGCTTTGTGCTTCTTTTTCCCTTTCCCTTTGCCACGAAGATCCTGCAAACTTTCGAAACTTTTCTCGATGACCTCGGGCACGATGGGCGGTTCCAGCTTTAAACTCTCGTTATCGTCCGACGATCGATGCTTTGGCGATCTTCTGACGCTATTGTTGAATATCTTTTTTCTCGACGTGTTCAAGAAGTAATTGGGATCGTTGTCCGAGTTCGATTTCATTTTCTTTGAGGCATCCTTTAGGAATTTTTGCATCATCGTTTTGTTGGGCAATTCGACCTCTTCGTCTTGCCAATCGTCGTCCGTGGACGACGACGAGGAGTACACAATCCTTGGCTGCCTTTTGCAGAATTTGTTGCATTTCCTTCTCGGTTTTTTATCGAGATATTTCTCGCTTGCATCCTTCTCCTCGGAATTGTCACTTTGATAATCGGTCCGTCTGTCCTCATTCGACAACGTGTCCTCGGTTATTCTGTCCTTCTCTTGCAACAAGGAATCGCTTTGAGACGTCCTCATTCCTTTCAGATTTTTACCGTTTCTTATGGACGATCTCAATGTCACTCTTCTGTACATGAGAATCCCTCTCCTGTCCACTTTTTTGCTTCCCTTTATACCTCCAAACGTCTGGAACTTCAATCCGGAAAATTCCCCAGGATCGAAGAATTCATCGGATCTATCCGGTTTCGAGTTATCCTCGTCAGAGTCACAATCCAAATCATCGATCGATAGATCCTTTTTTATCCCACCGAACGTGTTATACTTGTAACCGTTCGAGTTGAAGTACCTTCTTCCATTCAACGACACGATCTGTTCGTTTTTCACGTATTGAAAATCGTCGATCCACAACCTCCTCCAACAATCCTGATCCTGTTTCCTTCTGTTAACTTTAAGATCGTTCGTATCGACGGAGGACATACCCGAGTCACGATCCGACTTGAGATTATTATTCCCTTCGAGATCGTGAAGCGGATCGTAATTGACTTTCCCTACAGATCCGTTTCGAATATCTTCGATTTCTTGCAGAATCTCATTAATATCCTCTCTATCCATTATTTCGCGTTCGCTCATTTCCCCCTCCATCACTTTTTCACGTTTCA